TCCACCTGATAAAACATGTAAACAATTATTAAGTACAATTTCACAATCCTAAAAGAAAGCTTGAGTAACAGTTTTGTCTAACGAAGTTTCTTTTAGCTTATGAATTTTTTTTTTTGTTTATCGTGATATAACCTGCCTGCTATTATTTGGTTGCGCTGCATATGGTGGCTAAAAGGTGGCAAATGTTCGATTGTGAATGCTTTCTTAGCACCAAAGTTATAGTGTATCTCTGAACAGCCCTAAAACACAGGATCTGTGCTCTAAAAAGGCAAAATAGTCGTGTCCAGAAGAATACCTTTTTTTCTAGGCATTCTGCAAATTTCAGCTGCTTCAATAATTTCTTCTGTTTGTTGCTGAACCGATTATCCTGTTCCGCACTTGTTCCCTACAGGAAGAGAAACACAACATTGTAAGGGATCAAAGTTAAATTCTTTCATCAGCCAATGATGGTTAGGACCTTTACAGTCAAAACAGGGCAATCCTATAACTAGAAACACAGGAACTATATTCACAGATGTAAGATGTATACTTTTCCCACAAGGTAGTTGTCATCCTGACTATTTTTTAAAAATTACAAAATACATGCTAAAGCCGGTAGTGGTGGTGCACACCAGTAATCAACGAGGCGAAGAGGATGAGGCAGGAGGATCACGAGTTCGAGGCCAGCCTGGGCTACACTTAAAAAAAAATGCTAAAATAAGTCAGACACAATACAGTCATATACAGAATAAAACATCATCCCCATATCCAATGTTAAGTTTGATTTGTATCCTTTAACATCTTTCCCATGTTAATAGACATGTAATGCTTTTCTATTTAAACGAGAATGAACTGAAATACTGAAGTTTCATCCTCTTCTTAAAACAAGTAGCATGCTTGCAAAATTATTGTGGCACTCCATGTAAGAACCTGGAAAAACAAGAAAAAACACCCTAGAGCTGTGTTGTGTTCGTTTCCTACAACTTGTTTGAAGTACATGAAAAATAGAGGTATGTCTTAGTAAACTAGATGTCAGCAAAGAATAAGAGCATATAAAACTATAGTAGACCACCAAGTGATCACTAGTCTGTTTTATCCTATTGATCCAAATATGGAAATAACTGGCTGTGTGACCCGAAATCTGATTGGTTTGCTGAGTTGGCTACAGTCCCTTGGAAAGTGATCAAGAAAACTTTGTTTGGAAAGGTAAAGAACCTGGATTAGTCTCAGTTCTGCTGCCACTTAGCCATATGTTCTCAGAAGAAGCTACCTAACTTCTGAGCATTTTTCCTCACTTGCAAAAACAGGGGTAGTGAAATAACAACAGCAAGTGTAAAAAGATAAATAGCTGGGGTGTTAAGACAAGTCAATTACTCTGACCTGACCATTACATATTGTATACATGTGTTGAAATGCCACACTATACATAAATATGTAGGATTACTATGTGTCCATTAAAAATAAAAAGGTATTTAAGAGTAAAGTATTAGGTTGGGTATGGTGATGCACACCTACAATCCCAACTACTTGAGAAGCATAAATACGATTGTAAGTTCAAGGTCAGCCTGGACAAGGTTGGGGAGCCCCTATGTCAAAGAAAAGCACTAGCCAGGCGCTGGTGGCTCAGGATGCAGAGATAAGGAAGACTGTAGTTCAAAGTCAGCCCCTGGCAAATAGTTTTCGGGATCCTATCTTGAAAATACCCAACACAACAAAGGGCTGGTAGAGTGGATCAAGTGGCAGAGTGCCTAAATAGTAAGTGTAAGACCTAGAGTCCAAACCACTCCCTACCTTCCTCCCCGCCCCCCCCCCCCAAAAAAGAGGAAAAAGTGCCACGGGTGTGGTTCAAGTGATAGACCATTTGCCTGACAAGCTTGAGGTCCAGGTTCAAAAAAAAAGTATTAAATCTAAGAGTCCAGAAAAAAAAAAAAAAAAAAAAAGGTAATGAAATCTACCTTGCAGAGTTGTGTGTTCAGAAATGATACAGGTGGCAGTGAAGGACTTAACATGGGGCAGAACATAAATGCAAGGTATCATTTCTACCTTAACTGAAATTCTCAGTTTATGATGGTTGGCAGTGAGCTAGATTACTGCTCTAAAATCTTGTAACTCAAGAGTTTAAATCCAGTGAACTCCTACATTTAAGGGACTGGAGGATATATAAAACTGCACTCGTCCCCAGACTTTCAGCAATCCCAAAAGCCAGTGTGAGATTAGACTCTGGTGGTGCACGCCTGTAATCCTAGCTGCTCAGGAGGCAGAGATCAGATGGATCAAGGATGGAAGCCAGCTCAGGGAAATAGTTCAAAAAACCCTATCTCCAAAAAACACATCACTAAAAAAAAAGGGTTGGCTGAATGGTTCAAGCAGTTAAGAGTGCCTAGGTCCTGAGCTCCAACCCCAGTGCTGCCAAAAAAAAAAAAAAAAAAAAAAAAAAAAGTCAGTGTGATCTCAAAATTTACAAGCCAATCATCTTACTTTGTCTATATAACTCCTCTCTTCAGTAAATACTTAATAGAAATCTTGATAGACTTTTAATTGTTTCAAAATGTTACTTTCGCACCACAGGAAATGAGTTTTCACTACAAAATACTTTGATGGAAATTATCAGCAGCATGAAAAATTGACAAGCTCATTCCATAGGAAAACTATCTTACTGCATGACTTTAGAACAGTTAAACTAGTTAAGCGTCTTAGGTCAAATGCTTGGACCAATACTGCAATGTCTAATGAAAAACTAGTTAGCATACTTGCTTTTTTTTTTAATTAAAAAAAAAAAGTTTTGGCGATGCTGGGGATGGAACCCAGTGTCTTGAGCGTAGGAAAGCAAATGCTCTACTACTGAGCTATACCCTCCCCCAAGGCTTAAGAGATAGCTTTACTAAAGCCCCTGCCTTCCCCTCTTCTAATTTTCCTTTAAAAACATAAACTGCAAATTACATGCTCCAAGAAGCACAAAGTCCCCACCCCCACCCCCAGGCAGCACTGGGGTTTGAACTCAAGAGTCTCTCACGCTTGCTAGGCCAGGCACTTGAGCCACTCCGCAAGCACCAAAGTCAACGTATCTTAAACTAAGTCAAGATTTCGGCTTTGACCAAGTGGTCTCTACCTGGGTCCACTGTGCATTAAAAGAATCTGCAAACCCAGAACGGATCAGTGGTACTCAACCTTACTCCTACAAGTGTCCCTTTCCCAGTCATCTAAGTCTCGCGCTGGAGCTCACTTCTTACCGAAGTGGAAAACGGGCTCGAGAGCGAATCTAATAAACCACAAAGCCTGGGCCCCAGGACCAACGACGACCAGGTGTAACTTCCCCGGGCGAAGGAGTCGGAGAGAGTAAGGGCGGACGACCGCGGCGGGTGAGAAGGGCGGGAAGGAGCCGGCTCACGCCGTCCTCACACACGCGCAGACTTTTCCGTGTACCCTCAGCCCTAAAGCCTCGATTCAAACGTTCCAACTACAAATTATCTGAGTTCCCCTCCCTGAAGGGATATCGAATTGGGCGGGAGCTCTCGCGAACTCTGACCCCGCGCCTTCGCGACTGCTTGGGGCCGGGAGGGACGACGGAGTGTGTGTGTGTGTGTGGCGCCCACTTTCTCCAAAGAACCCGCTAAACGCCCCTCTCTCCAAGACGCTCTCCTGGGGCGTACCCGCGGACCGTACTCTCTGTGCCCTCCTGCCGCCAGTCACCTCGGGCTTCCCTCCGGCCTCCCCCTGGGGACTTCCTCCTCCCGGCTCCGCTAGGCCCGAGCACCCGGCGGCAGGCGCGGCACCGTGCCCTCAGGCCGAGAAAAGCGGGCAGCCAAGTACCGCTCCGGCCCGTTCCCGCCGCCATTTTCCGGCCACCGCCGCCGCGTATGGGGGACGATCCGGGAGGAGGAGACTGCGCAGGGTCGCACCGGTCTCCACCGCAGCGCAGGGAGGGGGGGAGAATCGTCCGCCGGTACCGGGGATCCTCAGGAGATCCCCGAAGCCTCCCTCCGCGAGCCACCGTGTCCGGAGTTTAGGCTTCCTAATGGGCCTTACTGAGAAGCTCCTCATTTCACCCCACAACCCCGCGCTTCTACTTACGCGGAAGAATCCCGCGTCCATCTTGCTACCTCGCTCGGAGATCGCTCCCTATCCCAGGGTGCACCGCGCCGCCGCGACGGAGGGCGGGACTGGCGGAAGGGTGCCGAACGCCGAGACGTAGCGCGCGCCGCTGCACCCTCCTCCGCCCCCGTCCCCCCCCACCCCGCCCCAGCCGACACGAGGCCGCGCCTGCTCAGTGAGCCGACAGCCCACTACGCTTGCGCCCGCACGCCAGGGAGGCGGGCTCCTACAGGGCACGAGGCTCCCAGGAGCCAATGGGAAAGGCGAGCCTGACTATCGCAGCCAATGGAGGCAGGAAGGAGAGTCGTGGTGTCGCCCCGCCCTGAGAATCTTTTTGTGGCGCGTGACCAGCCTTGTTCGCGCACTGTGACTTGACCCATCCTTTGATCCGTAGTGGGGGAGGTTCACCCGCCCTGGAAAGCTGCAAGGAGCGATTTAAGAGAAAGGCTGTTACATCAGAGTGACGCTAGTGGGGGGAAACTTGCGTAAGGGAGAAGCCTGCGGCCTCCTATGTCGAAATGAAAGTTGTGATCGTGTGGCTCTTACGAGTTTAGCAGCTGTCGGAATTGGCGCTCGAGGAGCCGAGCTGTGTGGTACGAATGCAGTCCGCATACTACCCCAAAGCTGGAAAGCGCCCATTAGATGAGTTTGGGTTTTAGCTGCGCCGTACCACGCTAGCCCACAGGAAGCCGGGCTCCTGCCTCCGGCATTTTCAGCCAACGCTCTCTCTCCCTTCTCATATGCACGTGTCCCTGTCTCAGAAAGGCCTTCTGGGGCATCTTGCAAAATTCCCTCCCCCGCGGACACTCTGGCCTCCCCTCTCTTCTTTTTCTTCCCAGCAGCTGGCACAGCTGTGTGTGTTGGCTTCACTGACAGCCAGGTGCCCACGACATCCCTGTCTCCAGTTTCAAACTTCAGAGGCCACTGCC